AAAATTAAAAAAAGTAAAATTTTGTGAGAAAAACAATATACCTAAATACTTTACATTTTTGTTTTGTTTTCTTTTTTTTTTAGGGCGTCAGTTATTTTTCATTACCATAACTGATACAAGCCGTGGAAAAAAGCAGATAATAATACAACAAAATAAAAACATTTTTGATAAATAATTTTTTCATGCCTTTTTTCAGTCAGTATACTAGGAAAATACTTTATAATTTGTGCTAGAAATACTGAGAATTTTTAAATTTGTTTTTTAAATGTTTTTGCTAAACTTTACTGTTTTTATCAATGCACAGGAAAGCAAGAAAACTAATAGCTATTTATTTGTGAAAAAAAAAAATTATTTAACAAGTTTTTCATGTAAAAAAAATAAAAAGGCATTAATATTTAATTATAAAATTTTTTTGGACAATATAATAGACACAATTTCAGACATGCATCAAGTGCGGTAAATACATTTATAAATGAAGCCATGTTATTTTTTTATATAACTTATTCTGTCAACAAAACTTATTAATTAAATAATATATTTTACAAATAAATAGCAATTTAATTTCTTATTAAAAAAAACCAAATATAGCAAAAACATTTTTAAAAGTGAAAAGACGTCAAAACGAATAAATTTAAGAGAAAAAAAAATTAACAAAATTTCTTATAGTTCTAGTGTACATAAGAAATTAGTTTCTTAATTATACAGACTGATAAAATTTGTGAATAAATTGCATATCAAAACTTTCAATCGTTGTTAAATTGTTATAAAAGATAATTTTCATCATCAATGTTTTTTTTATCAACTTGTGTAAAATTTGCTAAAAACAACAACCACTCTAAAATAAATAATACAAAAGTTATTTTAATTTTTTCTAGTTTATTTAATTAAACGTGATATTTCGTTACAATTTTATTTCCTTTTTTTAGGATTATTTTTTTTACCTCAGTAGATATGTGAAGCTCTTTGTTGCGAATTATTAAAACACTTAATAAGTTAAAAGTTGCAGTTAAAAGTTTCGGCAGTGGTGTAGCGGTAGAGCGCTCGCTACATAAACTAGTGGTTCCGAGTTAGATCCCCACCACGTCCCTGGTAGTACCGCGCTCAACTCGTTTCTCCGCGCAGCGGCCTTTTTCATTAAGGTTCGTATTTCGGAGTTATAGAGTTGAGAGAGGGTTATAACCAAAAATAAGTAGCCTCCTCGTCTGTAGTGGCCTTCTCGGCCTTGAGGAGGTGAATTAAATAAAAAAACTAAAAAAATAAAAAAAAACTGCCGTGGTCATTGTGTCTAAGAAAATTATTTTAAACGGGGATGAATAATGTATGGGACTGCACGTGCTTCCCAGGAAAGCTTGATATATATATATGCACAACTATAAATGTGTTTTTCGATCTTTGACATCACATTGAAAGAGCTTGCTCCCGGGGACTTCAATACATACATTGACTATCTTATAGTCTGCTGCCAAGAGTGACGGTATATTGAATGAGGGTTTGGTATGGAGCAACAATCTTTTTTTTCAGTATTCTTAATATTTTTCTTCTTTTTCTGAAAACGCTGTATGCTATAAAGGTAGTAAAAACTAGTAACAGTTTGCTCTTTAAATACGCTACACTGAATAAATAAAATTTATATATATAAATAGGGGTGTCCTGGTTAGATCATCTGGGCAGATATCCAGGCAGGATTTATTTGTTATCCAGTATCCGGCTAGATAATAAAATAATCCGCTTGGTTATGCTGGATATTCCATGTTGATCAGTAATAAGAAAAAAACTTGTTTTAACTACTGCTGCAGTCATGAGGTACACAGTTTAGACCTAAATAATCCGTTTTATAATTAACAGAGTGAGAGAACTTAGAACACAAATTCTAAAGTGTTAATTTTTAAAATAATCTGATGTCAGTAGATTCAAAAATTTCTTTCTCAAGTTATATAGTTCAAATAATTAAGAATTATCTGTGCATAGAAAATATAGATTTTATTACTTATTTATAAATTTTGTATTATTATGTATATGTAATAACATTTCTCTGTGTTGACGTAGCAGCCTTGATCACTTTTTCTCATGAATACTTTTATATTCTGAAAATCTCTTCGAAAATGCAGAAGATGGTGGTGGTGCTAATAATTTAAGGAGTAATTCTTTTAGCAGCACAATAACCAATCATTTTAGTATTACTAATACTAATGGTTATCTAAAGCAATCATCTTAAGGTTCAATTTTTTTCTTTTTTTTCCTTTTTCATACAACTTTAAATGAAATTTTCTGGCTTGATTTCTACACAGAATACAAGCTGATGTTGATTCAGAGGGATCATTTATTTTAAAAAGCTTTTAGACTTTTTTTATGACAATTTTTTTTTTTTTGCTAAAAAATAACTACATTAGGCAATATTTCTGGCAAATTTCCCTGGCACAGGGGGTACCGCCATCCCAAATTATTTTCCGCGAATAGCCCCTGTATATATATATATATATATATATATATATATATATATATATATATATATATATATATATATATATATATATATATATATATATATATATATATATATATATATATATATATATATATATATATATATATATATGTATATATGTATATATATGTATATATATATATGTATATTCTATATATATTTCACATCCCTGGCTTTAATTCATTTCCAAAAAAATAATGTTTTTTTATGTTTATGATAGTTAAAAAGGGCTTTGGCACCTCTGAATTTATTAGTATTTACTATAATTTCGTAACTCCTTATAATAATTTTTTAACTCTATAATATTTAGAAGGAAGCTTAATTTTTAAAGACTGGTACAAAAAACATTGTGTTTTGTATTCCGATGGAGAATTTTCTGTTTATACTAAAGCATCTGATGCCACGGCAGAGCTTAGAATCAATATGAAAATTGAGTGTTCAAGAATTGAAGTTGGATTTGATGTAGGCTCCATTAATCTTCCCAAAAACATCAGTAGTGTTGAATCTGTCTTTGCTATTATAACAAAAAGTAATAAAAGGCATATATTCTGTGCATCCAATGATTCTGATTGCAGGTAAATTATGCACGTACATAATTATTTTAATTTAATATTTTATTTTTGAATAATTATTTGTTATATAAATTTAAATTTTTTGTATATGCTTATAAATATGTTTTTTTTGTGTGTGTTTAACAATATAGTTTTACATATGTTATGCAGTTCCTGTCCAGTCTTGGACAGGAATGGTATGCAATTGCATGCTGCAACTGACCATACTTAAAAATTTTTTCTTTACAATTTGATCACGACTGCTTTGATGTTTTATCAATTTAAATGCCATAAAAAAATTGTTACGTTATGAATAATTTTTAATCGTTGATCTTTTTTAAAGTTTTTATTTTACACAAAGGCTTTAAGTAAAGAGCCATAGTATTGATAATATATTCTTAAAAAAATTTATGCTAGAAATCTTAAAACGTGAATAATATCTAATTGTGAATAATAACATTTTTAAAACATTTCAACAGAATATTCTAGAACTTTATTTTGCTTAGTAAGTATATTTTTTGAACCAATAGAATTTGTTTGTTAAGTTTGTGAATAATCTTTTTATTCTTCCGATGTTTTGAGAACAAGTTTTTTGTGTTTCCATGATGTCCATAAAACAAAAATTTTTGATTAAAAATTCTGGCTAGTTTTTTGCAACTAAATATAATTTCTGTGGTCAGTATTCGAGAGCGATCGCTCCCGCTTCCTGACCAAGCCTGTTACTATATAAAAATGTTGTCTAAAAAAATTACTTTAGACGTGGACAAATTAGGCATGCAACCGCGTGTACATTTACTTTGTAAAGCATATGTACACTGATTATGATATAAGTAAAAGAATTTATTGGAAATTATTATTTTAGTTTTATTATAAAAGCAGAGAACTGAAATCTCACTAGAAGATTATAAGATTTTTTGTCCAATTATAGTAATGTAACTCATATCAATTCATCATCAGGAGTCATCACTCTTTAAAGACATTTATATTAACTCCTTCTCTGAGTTCTGTTAATTTACAAGTAGCTCATTGTTTAGATAAAAATTTGTATTTAAAAGAAAAAATATTCAATGAAAAGAAATCAAATATGTTGAAAATATTAAAATAGAAAATAAATTAAAAGAAATATATCTTTAATTAGAAGAAATATATAAATCTTTAGTTAGAAGAAATCACTGAGCAAATAAAAAATAAATTTAATAGTATTAACCAAATAATTATTTTTTAATTTCAAAATGCAGCATTGAGTTGCGAAAAACATTTTTTTAATTTAAAAATGCAACATTGAGTTGTGAAAAACATAAATTATTTGCATCTTATTTCCAAATTTAAAAACCTTTTTTTTCAAAAAAAAATTAAATAAAATGTTTTATTAGATAAAATTTCAGTGCTAATTAGGGCTGTTGAATTTTGCTATCTAACCAGTTTCAGAATATAGTTTCCTCTGAATTGGAAAATGTTTGCAAATTAAATGTTATTGTTGGAAAATATTTATTTAACTATACTTTATTTATATAGTTTAAAGTTTATATACTTTAGTTTATATAATTTAAGTTTATATATTTTAGTTTATATATTTATATACATTATTTAGATAGTTTAAAGGCAAAAAAATAAAAATTTCCAACTTTCCGAAAAGTGGAAATGGATTGAATTCAATCTATTTCCATTTACTAGAAAATGGAAAGTATTTAGAAATTAAATATTTTCTTAAGGTTTTTACATGACATAAAATTTATATTACGATTAATTAAATTTGACCTTACTTCCCTACACTATTATCACTTCCCATTGAAAAGTCAAAAAAAAGTTTTTTTTTTTCTTTTTTACAAATAGTTGATTACATATCTTATTTTTGCACTCTTAAAAAATAATTAAGTAAATCTTAAGTTTTTTGATGAAAAGCTACTTCTTTCTTTTCTATGAATAAAGTTTGATTCACAAAGCAGATTCTATGGTGACAGAAGATGCTGGTATAATACAATACTTTTGAACCGCACTAGCTAACATAGGGAAACCTGATGATTTTTTTTTGAATTTGACTAAAACTTAAAGGACTTATAGAAAGATTATAGAAAATTAAAGGACTTATAGAAAGATTATAGACTTATAGAAAGATTATAGAAAATTTCCTTTCTATAAAAGTTTATTTCTCAAAGTAAATGTTTATATTGTGAAATCACTACCGTTTTTGGCGTGTAAAATAATCACCTAAGACCAAGGACAATTTAATAAGGTTTCCTACCTTATTAAATTGTCCTTGGTCTTATTGTGATTATTATTGGTCTATGGTGATTATTTTACACGCCAAAAACAGATTAAAAAGAAATTTTATTATTACATTCAAATAAAAAAAAAATTATAGGAAGTGAGATCGCAGTTGATTTGGCATCTAAAATAAATTTTTTTTGAATTCAATTTAAAAAGAGAAAATAGTAACAAGAAAAAAATGTTTCTATTTTCAAAATACCAGCCTTAAAATGAGAACTCTTTAAAATTAAAAAAATAAATAAATTCTATTTAAGTAATTGAAAAAAAAAAAGTCATAAATTAATCAATTTTTTAAAATTAAAACCAGTTTGCTTAACTACCATAGTCAAAAAGTCCTATATGATCCTATAAGAATTTGGAACAAAAAAAAATTTCAGATTCCAACCCCATTAAATTAAAACTCATAATAGAAAGTGTTTATAGTTATCAAAGTTTTTTTTTTTTTTTTGTTCCAAAATCGTATAGGTCCTTTACAATTTTATGGCTAGGATGAGTCGCATTGTTCTGTTATAACCCTTTCCTGCACTTTGCCTATTACACTGGATATTGTGTATTATGGTATTGCAGCTGAAAACAAAAATTATTGTTAAGATTCCAAAAATCAGTGATGATGAGTTGGATAACAACAGCAAATCATCTGAATTCAGCAGTGAAGCATTTGAAACCGAAAGTGATAATGAAGAAGTAAAAATTAGTGATGATGAGCTATCTGATAAAGATTGTGTTACCTTTCAATTACCAGTAGTATTGAATATAACACCACAATTACCTATCAAATGGTTACTGAACAGTGATAATTATGTATGGTTCCTCCAAACGATTCAAAAATAAATGACCAAAAACTTTTTTTTAAAACCATGGATTAATTTGATAAATAGAAGTATGCCTATAGATCTTTTCAATCTGTTTACATCTGGCATTTATGAATTTATCGAAGAACAGACAAGCTTGTACAAAATGTCACAATCTTTCATAAATAGTGCTGCCAGAAAAGTTGAAAATGTGACTGTAGAGGATATTCAAAAAGTGTTTAGGATTATTTTGTAAAAGGGAATTGTAAAACTGCCTAACAGGTGTATGTATTGGCAGGCTTGGTTAGGAAGCGGATGCAATTGCACTTTATATCTGACCACCCATATAATATTTAGATGTAACAACAGGGCCACTGCTTTTTAGATGCTTTGAGAACATTTCAAAAGGGGCAAAAAAAAACTTAACTTGATGGGAGACAACTTCTAAAAAAATTAATTAAAAAAAGAAATGAATTTTAAAGAATAAAAAAAACTAAAACAAAATAGAATAAATTCTAGAATTAATTACTTTTAAACTTCTCTCTTTTATAACTTTTTTTATAAAAAGTATACTTATGAAGAGGAAGCGGAACTGCTTCACAATATCGCTAGTGTATTTAGTGAGCAGGCTTTTTATTTATATTAGTATGTTTTTGTTCTGTATGGACGGCTGGCGCGGTGCTGGTTTACTTCACTTTATATAAATGTATGTTTGTGTTTTGTTCAAATCACTGGTGCAGTGTTCATCCACTCATAATTCACTTTGTATATATGTATATTTGTGTTTTATTCAAATCACTGGTGGAGTGTTCATCCACTCATAATTCACTTTGTATATATGTATATTTGTGTTTTGTTCAAATCACTGGTGCAGTGTTCATCCACTCATAACTCACTTTGTATATATGTATATTTGTGTTTGGTTCAAATCACTGGTGCAGTGTTCATCCATTCATAATTCACTTTGTATATATGTATATTTGTGTTCAGTCACCAGTAAGTTTCTGTTTATTTAATTATTAATTTTATTAACTTTGATGATTACTATTTTTTAAATTTTTATCGAAAACCCAGTTGTTGTTGAAAGTCTTATTTTTTCCAAATCGATTGTACAAACACTTTCAAAGCATTTAAAGAATAAAAAACTAATCTATAATATTATTTGTATAGTTATTTATTTTAATTTTTATTAAAACTTACTTAAGTTTATATAATTAAAAAAAAAATTAAAGTTTTTCTTTTTATAAATGATCAATAAAAGTAAATCATCGTTTACTTTAAAAGCGCTTTGCTAATATTAAAGATTATTTACAAATTTAATTGTTTTAGTGTGACAAATAGAGTCGAACATACATGGAAACATACATAAATTTAAATGTTCTTAAAACATCTAAAAAGCCGTGGCCAAGTTGTCAAAACTAAATAAAATTTGCGTGGACAGGAATAGATTGCAATTGCAGCCGCTTCCCAAATTAAACTTGTATTGGCAAAGAAATACTTAAATTGATTTAATTGCTGATGCAATGCCGTCAATCGATTTGCCCAGATTTTGCATGCAATGCTGCATTAAAAAATAATTACCTGATATCTGAAGCTAACCATAAAGAATATAACAAATGCTACAAAGTCAAACCACTTGTTAACCACTTCTGTGAAAAATTTGTGTCCATTGTTATTCCAGAAACTTTTTTTGTCAGTTGATGAACAAGTGGTTCCATTTAAAGGAGCAAGTGGTTTGAAGTGATATCTTCTAAAAAAAATAAAAAATGGGGGTATAAATTATGGGCACTTGCTGGCGTGTCGGGTTATAAATATAATTTTGAGATTACAAAGTTTTTATTGACAACTACTTCTGTTCCCTAGAACTTATAGAATGTTTGTTATCCATAGGTATTTACGCTTTGGGTACACTAAATATAACTCGTTCTAGAAATTTGTCCTTTGGCATCTGAAAAAGATTTTTAAAAACGTGGGCGAGGAGCTACTGATGAAATTTTTTCAATTAACAAGTTTATTTTTGTAAAGTTTTGATAGAAATGTGTAACTCTAAGTACCTCGTGCATTAAAGGGATAAATGTGTAAATAATTCAATTAAAAGTATAACAGAGATACTTATGTATAAACGCCTTTGCGTAATCAAGCCAGCGCATTTAACAAATAATAGAGACGGTTGTCTTTTTTAATTTTACATTAAAACTTTTTTTGTTTTTTAAAATTAATAAACTGGGTCTTAATAAGTTCTGGATGGTTCGAAATTGATAAAATAGATAAGAATTAAATAATTTTTTTAATGACTTTCCGATGGAAAGTGATTAGAGAATGTGAAGAAGCAATGGTCTAATTAATAGTAATAAAATCATTTAAAAACCTAAAAAAATTTTTTAATACTCTCTAATTTCTGGATATTAGAAATAGATTGAATTCAACCTATTTCCATTATCCAGAAAGTTGAAAACTCATTAAAATTGAACTTTTTTTTATGGCAAAAAAATTTTTTCATCATAAAAAAATGGATTATTTAAAAAATTACCGCTTTCTTTGAAAAAAAGCACAATTAAACTCTCCTAGTGCTAATGACATTACTTTAAATAATAGCTTTAATCACAAAACTTTTTTTCATAATGACTTTTAAAAAAAAATTTTATTTATGAGACCAGTGCTCTATCACTATTGCTTTAAAATTTACAGAAGTCAGAAAATTTAGAGAAGTTAGAAATAGAATTCACTCTAGTTGTTTCAAAATTTGTTCACAATACTTTTTGGTTAAATAAAAGAAACCAAGACATTAGTTTGTAATTTACTAAAATTAGGGTTAATGTTTCTCATAATCAACAACATCCAATAACAGATTGTTTATACTATTTATGATGTAGAGGAATTTTTAATGCCATAGTGGTTAAGCACTACTTAAGCAATACTTAACTCTCATAGTACCACACTCAATTTGTTTCTCTACGCAATAGTTCATAAAGTTTTTGATTAAAAGGCTTGAATGAAGGTTGTCACAGTAATTTAAAAAATTATTATTATACTCAACTGTAATAGTATCAGTGGCCTTGGGATGATGAATGCAGTAAAAATTAATGTCATGTGTATAATTTACTAGATTCACAATTTTTATTTTTTTATATTGATTTTTTTATTTAAAAAGTATAGTTTATAAAATCTAGTAGATAAATTTGGTTGTAACAAATCAATAAGTTATATATATATTTAATTAAATTGTAATTTTCTTGAACATAAATTTTAAAATTAAATGGGTATGAATTGTTTTATAAAAAGTAAATAGTAGTACTGCTACTGGTAATATGTAATCCAGTGCAATCTGTTTCATGTCCTGCTGCCTTGTAGGATTCACATTCTAAGCAAAAGCTAGAAAAAGTGTATTTCCTGTCATCAATATTATCTAACATCAGTCATGCTGATAGTGATATACATTTTTTTGTCTTTTATATAGTTAGAGGTGTCTTAGTTACTGTTTTAACTCACCGGTAAGTTACTATATGTATGTTTGTGTTCTGCCCAAAACTATGGCACAGTGTTTGCTCACCCATAAGTTGCTATGTTTGTGTTCTGCTTAAATCTCTTTTGCTGTGTGAGCTTAGTTAGTAACTAGTGACTCCAACTTGTCACCAGAACTCCAACTTGTACAAACCTAAATCTCTAGTTTGTTAGATGTAATGTTTTTCCTAATTCATTTCCAAAATATCCCTATCAATATTTTAAAGTACTGCTTATAGGAAGTAATTTCTTTTAACTACTCTAGGTCAGATCAGGCTCAGGATCATCATAATCACCCTGCTACTAGTATTATGTAATGTATACTATGCAATCATCTTAATAAATCTTTTATCTCCTACTTCTTTTATCTACTTCGTTTTCAGACTCGCCATATCATCACACTACTTACTACTATCCTAAAGTAACTGGGATTCTTTTCGTGAATTTCTTTGTAATGGTCCATAGGCTGATGTTTTTTCTCTCTCCGCTGGTAAATGCGCCTCCTACGTAACCTCCTAGATCCAGACAGGTATGGAAGTTTTTTTTTCGGTTTGTTGATTTCAAGTTAAGTCTTATTCTACTCCATGGTTTTTAACTGCTAATCTAATTGTTCTAATTTTTTTTTAGCTTTTTCAAAAGTTGAAAACGAAGGCCTATTTACTATTGCAAGAAATCAATTCAAAAAGTTTCTGTCTGATGCTAAGCTTCATTACTCCCATTTTCCTAAATCTCACATCTTATCTCAGAAGTTAGGCTTTAGAGACTTTTGAAAAATCTTCAATACCATCATTAACAAAGTTAAGTCTAAAATTCTCTAATTCATGGGATTGATCTTATTAGTTCTCCCAAGGATACGGCAAAACTCTCTGCAAAAAACTTTTCTTCTAATTTGACTCTTAGATCTTATGGCTATACTCTTCCTGCCATTCCAGTTAAACTGGTTAATCCATTGTTAGATATTCAACTCACTAAAGCTTCAGTTGCTAAAGTCCTATCTTAATTAAACTCTTCTATGGCTTGTGGTCCAGACAACATTCCTGTCATAATCTTACAAAAGTGTTTTTCACAAATTTCTTCCATTCTCTTTAAGCTTTTAAATAAGTGCTTAACTGAATCATGTTTTTCTGCCTGGTGAAAATATGCATCTGTAGCTTCTAAAAACTCTGTAGAACATTTTAACCACACCAAATATTGTCTGATCAGTCTTCTCTCTATTTTTAGCAATCAATATAGTTTTTGTTCTTCTCTTTCTATGGCTGACTGGCTGACTGCTGTGGCTGAAAGATTTGTCCATTGTATAGAGATGGCAAGGAAAGGGCTTTTGCTCTCAAGCTTTCAATAAAGTTTGGCTGGTCTTTTATAAACTTGAAATAAAAAAGTTTATTTCAAGTGACAACTTTTTTAAACAATGAAAGTCTCTTTTATATAAGAATTTTATATAAGAATCTCAGGAAGTTAATACTCTCAAAATGATGAAAAATTTTGTGTAAAAAAAAATGTTTTTGAAAGCCGCTAGAATTAAATAACTTTGATCTTCACTAATGTTTTTATATTATTGAAATGCTTTTAAATTAGGTAGCAAATTGCTGCTAATGATTTTTTATATAAAGAATTAATAAATATTATGTATATATTTTTAATACATATAATCATATATATGTATTTGTATATTTTTAATACATATAATCATATATATGTATTTGTATATTTTTAATACATATAATCATATATATGTATTTGTATATAAATATTAAAAAAAAGTTTCTATCAGTTTTTTTTTAACAGCAACATTAAAAAATTGTCTCTTTAATGAATTTTTTTAAGAATTAAAACTTGATTTAATTCTTTTAGTTTTTCAAGTTTAGTTGAATTATATTGTTATTTTTTTTTTTAAATAAAGATTTTTTTTAAGATTTTATTTTAATAAGTTTTTTAAGCGCATTTTTGAAATGTTCAAATTTTTAAAACATTAACAGTCGTGGTCAATTCGTCAAAACAAACTATTATTTGCATAGCCATATAATGACATACGATCGCACACCTTCCTGACCAAGACTAATTGTGCACTTGATGTACTTTATTTAAATTTAGATTGTATAGGTTGGAAAGTATTTCCTTTTATTTTGCATTTAATTTATTCCTTATTTTGTTTAACTAGAGATTGGTTCGGTGCTTTAGAAAATGCTCGCACTGCAGTAAGTTTTCATTTCTTTATTACATTTTCTAAATTTATATTAATTTTTTTTTTTAAACAATTAAAAAAGTGGGCTGGAAAATAAAACAAAATTCTTAAATATATTTATTATAAAAAGTTAAATCTTTATTTATAAATATTGTTACAATTAATTCACAATCGCCAAAGTAATTTTTGGGGGGTTTTAAGTTGTTGCAATGTATAGTTTTCACAATTTTCTATATGACAAGTTTTCTCTCAACATGAATATAAGACTTAGGGGAATTTATATAATAATAGTATTATATTATATTTATCATACAAATATAATAAATATATAATAAGTTTACATTATGATACATATATTCAGCGCTCAAAATAGCGGCCGATTAATGATCAATGATTGTCTACTTTTGGAAAAAATGATATTTTGATCTCCCAAAATCAATATATCGATGATCAAATTTGATTGGCAAGAATTGCAAGTCAAACATTATATTAAAAATTCAAAAACATTACAAAATAAACGTCACCAAAAAACATTAAAAAGACATAAGTAAAACATCATCACAAAAATGTTAAAAGTAAAACATCGCTTAAAAAAGAGAAACAAAGATATTACAAAACTTATTGTATATTAATGAACTATTTTGAATGAATTGAATTTTTTTTAATGAATCGAATTTTTCTGTTTTCAACGTTTCTGTGAAAAACTTTGAAAAATAATAAATAATGCGATTTTATGATTGGTAAAAAGAATGTTGACTTAAAAACATCATAATGCTTAAAGCAAAATAAAATTGTTTTTGTTTAAAATTTTTAGAAAATAAGTTTTAGAAGTAAAATTATATAAAAAGTATAAAAATAATCATATAATCAAAAGAAAGTTACAATTACAAACAACTAATAAGTGGAAAGATTCTACACTTGCGAAATATAATACTAATGATCGGCTTGAAATAGATAGCATTTATGGAATAGTTACTGCGCTAAAATACAGAGTATGCCAAGAATATGCTTCTCAAATTCAGATTTTAAAAGGGCACACACAGGGATGTAGAGGTGGAAAAAGATGAACTTGATTGCAACACAGTTCTGCAATCATACATGCAGAAGGAATGTCGCACCAGAATCCTTTTGAAATATTTATGAAAATTAGAATTATGAGTTTGTGTGATAGAATTGAAAAACAAAATGAGTTGCAGCAGGAAATGCTGTAAACATTTTACCCGGTATTCAAACCATGCATAATAAGGAACTTGATTTGATCAAAAAGAAATTCAAGGTTGGTTACTTTATAGCAAAATAAGAATTGTCACTTTATATCCAAAAATAATTCAATTACAAGAGAAACATGGTGTAGTCTTTGATCAAACCCAAATACTTGCGGAACATTGATTGAGTACATTGCTCTGAGTTTGGCGAAAGATCTTAAAAAAAAACTGAATAATTAAAACATTTTCACTATTCTAATTGAAGGTTCTAATGACGTTTCAATTATGGAAAAAGAGTCACCTTTAATCCAATCCCAACTAGAAAATGGGAAGTATGTGTTGAATGTGACTTTCTTTCACTTTCAGGTGTTGAATATGGAATATCGCACAAAGTTTTTAACACAATAAAAGAATCACTTTAGAATATAGTAATTAAAAATTGCAATAACAAATTAGTTGGTTTTGGTGCAGATGACCCATCTATAAATAGAGGAAGCAAATCAGGTGTTAAAATGTTGCTCACAGCTGAAATTCCATGGATCACATTTGGTTGGTGTGTAGCACATGGTTTCAAATTATCATTGAAAGATAAATTAGGAAAGACTGAATCATTTAATAACATTGATTGCATTACTTTAAAAATGCATTTACATAAAATCACCTATAAAGTTAAGGCATCCTGTGAACTTGTATCTATTTTAGAAGATGATGAATATAACATTGATGGTTACCGATCTAAAAAATTTATGTTATATTTTTTACCATTTTAGTTATGCATGATGGATCTGCTAAAATTTTTAAATTTGTTGACTATAAAGTTTTAAAGTAAAGTATTAATTGGAAAAGTTTCATTTTTAGGTACACGATGGATTGCACATAAAGTTCGAGCTTTAGAGATGGTATTAGACAAATACAGTGTTTATTTAACACCTCTGAAAAATATGATTGAAGATTGCGCTTTTACAAATGCTGAATGAGTTAATTTTAAAGGATACCACAAAAAGTGGGTTCATGCGAGAATACTGAATACTAAAATTTCAATAAACAATGCTTTACATTGCATTGTTTATTGAAATTTTAGTACTGGCAAAAATGTTGTAAAAATCTTTTCAAAGTGATGAGATTGATGTATTAGCTTCATCAGGGTTTATTCAACAAGCTAAAAATTAATTAAATCATATTCTAAAGAGAAAACTTATAGATTTGCCAATAGTAAAGCATTTCCTTGCCAAAGTGATTAAAAAGGCTGGAAATTTTTATTTCCAGGGTGTCACACTTAACAATTTTGTAAATGCTAAACGTTTAGTAAAAAATTCAGTCTATTTTTATTGAGTTGATAACGAATTCAATCATAGATTATTTAGAAAAATGTGATAATATCCCTGATATGTATAGTACAAAAATTTTAGATACAGAAGGCTAGCTTCAAAGTATTGAAAACGATGCATTCTTGGATGAAGGAAAAAGTTTATGACTTTTACAAAATGCCATTGCAACATGCTGGTTTCACCGGAAGCATAAATGATGTTTTGGACACTTAGCATAGCTTAGTAAATTACACTGTAAAGTACTTAGTACCACATAATACCGGATACCGCAAGTTATGGTACAAAATATTATTCAGTTCAATGAAAAATAATTGGGCTTTGGTTCTACTTTTCGTCAAACTATTATTTACTTTGCCTGTATTTAATACAAAAGTTAAATGCCTTTTTTCAATAATGAATAGAGTGAAAATGGACATAGGCAACTCTCTGAAAGAAAAATGCTTTCAAAATTTAACTTGAGTAAGTTTGCTAAGAAAAGATTCTAATGTATTTGATTTAAGTCCTGCTATAGAGTTATGGGTGAATGATGTAGTGTGAAGGCCAACACAATCAGAAAGAAAAAATTGCTCAAAAAGAATGAAAAAAACTGGTTTAAAAACATTAATTGATTTGGACTCATCATCTGACGAATCAAATAACAAGTTGTTAATATACTTGCGTTAAAGTTTCAATCAACAAGTGTTTTCTTAAAAGTTCCTAATATATATAACCTTAAAGGTTTAAACTTAAAGGTTCCTCATATTTCTTGTATTATTTCTTTTGGTAACAGCAACCATAAAAGTTTGATCATTAATATTTGAATAACTTTTTCATTATGTAGAACATAAGAGAAAGAAATATTTTTGCAATTAAACTTTAAATGAATGAGCTTGATACTTTGATCTAATTTGTGTGTTTTTGTCAATTTTAAATAATGTTTTTACTAAACAATTGTTTAGTAAACAATAGTATATTTAATAATTTAGTAAACAATAGTATATTTAATAATTTAGTAAACAATAGTATATTTAATAATTTAGTAAACAATAGCATATTTAAACAAATGTTGCAAACAGTTGTTTAGTTTGAACTATAGTTTTAACTAAATGAATGTAAAAAATATATTTTATATTATTATTATAATAAAAATATTTATATTATAAGTATAACAAATATATTTTGTAACATAAATATAAAAAAGTAATCATAAATGGACGAGATATTCATAACAAAAATCTTAAAGTTAATGACAGTCTAATAATGCGCTAAAAATATCTTAAGGTAATTAGAAAATAAAGTTTTTTTAACGTTTTGAATGAATGACTTTGCCTAATTGAATGATGAATCAAAAGTTGATTTGATCAACTTAATTAATTTATTTGTTAATTTTTATGATAAGCCAAACAACTTGTCATAAATTTTTTTTATACTTTTGCCAGACAACTGTCCGACTTAAGTATAGAAATTTTTTTTTAAAGGTTTGCTAAAGTGCTTTTATAGCGAAATACTTAAAAAAAGTTTATTTAAAAGTTTGTATTTATAACGTGACACTTTAAAATAAGGCCCAGTATAAGTTTTGACTTTGATTTTTTTATTGTTTCAGAATTTTTAACTATTCGAAATTTTGCAGTATAAGCAGTGCTATTAAGCACAAACATAAAAAGCGTGACAAAAATTGCTACACTTATAAAAATTTGATGCAAACTAACAAAAATTTGATCGTCCAGAAAATTATTTGATCATCTACTTAACAATTAATCTGATTTCAGCCGATCAGTGTTGATGGGAAACCTCTTAATAATTATTTTGAGCACTGATATATATGTATATATATATATATATATATATATATATATATATATATATATATATATATATATATATATATATATATATATATATATATATATATATATACTATTATTATTATTATTATATACATAAAATATATTAAAAATAAAAATAATAAATGACTTAAAAATTAATTAAAAATAAAATTATAAAAATGTTTAGAAAGCCATAATTAGTTTTAAGATTAGATTAGATTTTGAGTTGAAGTTTTTTGGTTATTTTGAACTTTCAGCATCTTCAAATCTATTTTACTTGATTTGTAAAATGATGTTCCAATCAATTGCATCTAGCATTTTTATAAAATAAAATTAAAAAAAAGAACAATTTGATAAGAACTAATTTATAATTTGATAAGAACTTTTAATAGAGTTTTAGTTCTTATCAAATTATTCTTTTTAATATTTTTGCCAACTGTAAGATGAGAGATTTTCAGATGAACAGTCTGCTTTTCAACTTCTTTGTAGGTCTTACCATTGTTTAACATATTCACTAGGGCAGGATTGAAAAGTCTTGTTTTTCTAAAGGAATGAACTTTATAGACTAAATTAGAAATTCAAAAAAAGGCGACAATACCTAACATGCTATCATAAAGACCTTTTTAGTTTCAGGTAAAGATGTTGCATGTGGAATATTAAACTTTTGGTTATTGCCATTGAAACTTCTGTCACAAAAGGAACCTATGGTCCCTTCTGTGGCATAAGTTTCAAATGCCTATAACTAAAAACTAAGAATTCTACTAACAGTCTTTTCTCAAAATTAAATAGATATTTATAGGCAGTATATCATGTATTTTTGCCCCCTTCTAAATGTTTTTTTTTTTTTTTTTGAATTTCTAATTAAATTTGTTCTGATGTTTGGAAGCATTTTTTATTGAAAAGTAAAATATAAATTGTAAAGATATTAAAAAGGACTGGAAAAGGACTGGAAATGAATGAAAAGACTTAAAATCTCTAAAATCTCAGGTGGAACTAGAAAAAGTGTCTTAATGTAAAGACACTCTTGTAGATAAATGTCCAGAACAGAGTTGATTTTATCAGCAGAAATAAAACACATCTCTGACATTGTTCATGTTCTTTAAGTTATAGAGTTTAGTGTTATGGTACTGTGAATAGGAGACTGTGATAAAAACTAATAAAATATTTTGTTCTTACTACAAAATTTTAGGAAAAAAAACAACTAACATTGGTCAAAAATTATTAAATGTTGTCTCTCAGAGAATTACTGAATAAAGAAGTTGTATTATTGCTGATTTCTGTTGTCTCTCTGAGAAAGAAGTAACATCTGAATCTGATATTTTATCTATTGTAATGTGAAACCATTAAGAAAAAAAACTAATGCTGAAGAATAAGCAGAATTAATATCAAATACAACATTAGCAACAGAAAACATTAGCAACAGAAAAAAACTAAAGGACTATTAAGTATGTCCCTCACAAAGTTTTGACTTGAATTAAATAAGAAACGGCAGTACTTGAAAGCACTGGAAAAAGCCCAAGCTCTTTAGAAAAGAATTTTTAAAAATGCCATGCTAAGCCTTCCACCATCTTCTACAGAAGCAGAAAGAAGTTTTAGTGTTTATATTAATGCTGCTGGTTTATTTGATACTAAGTTAAGAACTAGTTTAAATGATGACACTGTTATTAAATGATGACACTTTTATTAAATGATGACACTGTTATTAAATGATGACACTGTTATTAAATGATGACACTGTTATTAAATAATTTTTTTAAAAAGAGAAATAAAATCATAAGAAGTTGTATATTCTTTTTTTAAACGGTAAAAAATTATTTTTAAAAATTAATCAAAATTAACCAAAGAATCGAATAATTTTTCTAAAATTAATTGTTGATTGATTAATTTGAAATATTGATTCCCTAGCTAAAATTATATATTAAACTAAAGTTTTTCCAAGTTGAAAGTTTTTTATGTTAATAAATATAAACAAATTTTAAAATGCTATATTCAAAGTTTTTTTTTTTTTTTGAGATTCCAAAATTTCAAGGTTGCAATCAGTGGTTACCTTAAAAACTTTTGTATAAAGTTTAATAAAATTATACTAGGGGTCTTCCTTAAAGTATATACGTAGGTTTACTTATATAGGGGTTTACTCAAAAACAAACGAATGTGTACAAGTAGGTGGGGGGGGGAGGGAAGTAGTTAAGTCAGTGATTACATAGTTTTATTATGTCACGAGTTATACAATAATATGTTATGTAACAGAAAAATGTCGAACTAACTTCAAGTTTTTTTGTTTTAAATGTTTTAAATTTAAGGCTGGATTTGGGGATTTAAGGTGGATGAATTTAAGGTGGATGGGGGAGGTAATTTTGTAATAAATATGCGTATGTATGCAGAGAAGGGGAGGGGTTGTTGAAAGCATACAGGTGCATACAAGGTCCTAAATCAGTGGTTTTACTGCGTACGTTCTTTATAGAATTATTTGTATTCAAAGATTTTCTGATTTTTTTGATGTTAAGTAGTTTAATAAAAATGCTTCTGTTTTAGCCACCTTTGTCAAAACAAGTACCATTTGCACCACCAATGGATCTTGCTCCTCCTCCATATGCTCCGTTAGAATACAGTCAACCTTTACAATCTAACGGATGGGGTAAGGTTAAAAATAAAGCTTGAAATTTCGATCGTTGTTCTGAGGCTTTTTTAAAAAATATTTAAAAATTCCAAAACGTTTATGCTTTTTGAAATACTCAGTCAGTTACAGCTTTTCTTTTTAATTTTTTTTTTTTCATTACTGCTTTTCTATTTAATAAATATTTTTAATATATAAATAAAACTTTTTTTTATAATTATTTTAGGCAGTTCAGGATCTGGGTCTCAGCTTGGTCAGCAAAGGCCTCAAACGTTACCTTCACAATACTATCAGCAACCTGGATATATTCCACAACCTCGGCCTAATTATGGGGTTCCTTCTTACGGTCCTCAACCTATGTATGGACCTCAGCCTATGTATGGACAACCCATGTATGGTCAACCTGTTTATGTTAGCCAAGCTCCTCAAGCTCAACCGCAGCAGCAGCAAGGCAGTAATAATAATACAAGAAACATGTTATTAGCCGGAGGAGGTGGATTGATAGGTGGCTATTTATTGGGTAATGCCATATCAGAGATGTCTCATCATCATATGAATAATTATAGTGATAATAGACAATATAATGATAATTATTATGATAGTGGAGGCGGATTTGACGGAGGAGGTGGTGGGTTTGACGGCGGAGGTGGTGGGTTTGATGGAGGAGATGGTGGGTTTGATTTCTAACTATTGCTATATTTTTGTGGTGTTAAATACTACGAGATTTTGTTATCAACTTTCTATAGGTCATAAAAATGACATTAAATTTTTTAAATGATTATTTATTATTTGCAATTTAATTATTTGAAAAATGAATATTATATTGATGTTATTTGTTTATTACTTTTTTCTTTGTTTTTATATAAACAATATTTGAATTTTATTAATAATGTATATAACGAAAAATTTGTCATTCAATGTATGGTGTAAATTATAATTGCAAAATATCATGTGCGTTTTTTAAAACCGTTGTTCCATCTTGAAATACTTTTCAACTTTTTTTTTTTTAATCTCTTTTTTTAAGGTTCTAAATTTTTGTGCCGTGTCATTTTATTTGTAAAACAACTCTGCGCAGTGCTTGAGTAAAATTTTTGTCAGACTAGGTTTAAACAAGCCACAGTTTTATTGGAAATTAGGGCGTACACACAGGCTGAATAATATAAATGATTAAATATACTCTACTCGACTCTATTTGGAGAAAATAGTTATCTTTTTTAAATGAATAAAGTGTAAATAAAATTACATTATTATTTTATGTCATTTTGTTTAATGAATTTTGTTTTATTTATAATTCTTTGTTCTGCGCCGTATTCATTTAAAACTTTTTATATGATTTTGTAATGTCTTTGTTATTTATTGATAAGTTATTACACGCTTTGATATAATGTTGTGACGTCAAACATATTACATATGTGTTCTAATTTTTTATCGAATCAAGTATTGAATTAGAATCAATATTTTATAGTTAAACCTTGGGCAGAATAATTTTTTAAATTTTTAACTTTTGTTTAGCAGTTCAATAATCAGTTTGAAAAATTCAATCATTTTTAATGAAAACCACAAATCCGTATCTGCCATTTTACTTTACTAAAAAAAAGTTTCTTAATTTGATTCCAAAAAAATGTATTTAGGGTTTAGTATTCAGTTTTTTATCAGTTTCCTTAGCAACAACGTTAGTATCTGAGAAATTATCAGCAATTTTAGACCTACAATTGAACGTATTACACAGAAAACAGCCAACCACAAAAAAACTCAAACTGAGATAAAACTACTTTGGTCTAAATATTGAATAATCAAATTTATACATCTAGAACGTCGATTGCGAAAGAATAGAATGTCAATTGCTATTGCGATTACTATTTTTTAAAAGCAATTAACCTTTCTCCGTCGGGTGACATCAATATCTTTTTTTGGCCGAAATTGTGGACTGTTTGTTTTCTGCGTAACTCCAGTTAGTAGGGTTGAAAAAGTGAAATATTTTATTGTAATAAACTTATATAGTTTTAAAAAATTCATTTCTTCAAAAAATATGCGTTTTGATGTTCTATTATTTAGGTATACAAAAGTATACCTAAGTATTCTTTGAATATTTCAACAAAAAATATGTCATAATAATAAAGACCCGTGAGAGAAAAATTCACATCTTTTAATCAAATTTTTACAATCAAGTTTATCAATATAAAAATCGCGCATTTAAAAAAAAATAATAATAAAACACTCATGTTGCTAAGTAGAGTAAACTGGGGTAAGAGTAAAAGAAAAATAAAAGTGAACGGTTTAGCAATTTTGTTTCTTTTGCATTTATTGAAAGCTAAAAGAAAAAATTTCTAAAAATGCGAGGCATCGTATTGTAGAAAATTTTGTGCTATATCTGAAGTTGTAAAAATTGTTTTGAAAAATTTATTTGTGCCTAAGCAAATTTTAAAATTCTCACTCACAGTAAAAAAAAAATGTTTTTTTCAAAAAAATCAACTTCATAATTCCCAAAACTAAAATTAAATTTTACTAAACTAAAAATTTTGTGGAAAATTTTATGATCATCAAGATTCTCTTTTCTAAATTGAATTTGCTAATTCCGGAAAAATGTTCTAAACGAAAAACCGATAAAATTCGGTGGAAAAGTAAACATGCTAATTGCTCACACTTATGGATTATGATAAGCGTGACTAAATTAATAGTTATTAATTTAGCCACGCTTATCTAACGGAAAGACTTAAAGGCAATTTGAAAAATGTTTTACAGCGCCACCATGTTGACACAAAAAAAATCCAAGAGTCAACATTCCGAGAGTTGAAGGCCAGTTCCTTAGTATACATCGGAGGTGCTTGAGAAACTAAAGCAAGACGATGAGGCCAAAAAGGCAAAGCAATTAAAGAAAAGCAAGATTCACTTTAGTGAAGCTTCGGTTAAAACTCAGCAAGTGCAACATTGAAAAAAACCGAGACTAGACAAAGACATCAAGTGGTCACAGAAATTCGAAAGAAGAACTGCCTACTCAAAACAACGCATGCTACCAATGTGCAGATTTTAGTTGTAAGTCTTGGGTTTGTCGATTGTGTTTACCCAAAAAATGCAAAATTGGTGAAGAGTTTTTTTGCATAAAAAAATGCTGCAAACCTGCTTCTGACGATGAAATAACTCAAATTTATTTAATTAATTGTTTTTTTCGTATATTTTATTAAAATAGTTTTTTTGTAAATTTAAACTTCTAATAAGATTAGTTTACATTTTATTTTTAATTAATTTAGCTTGATTTTCTTAATATCTTAATCAATTTTTATTGAAGTTTAACTAATTTACTTTTGCCAAATTATAAGGGGAAAAGTAAACGTTTTTTTTTCGTTCATAAAAATCGATTTTTTTTTAAATTTTTCAAATATTTTTTCTCAATTTTTATATATTTGTGCAAGCAAAAAATTCTCCATAAAAGAAAAAAACCGTTTAGTCTTACCCCAGCTGACTCTATTACTTTTGTATACGTTAATTAGTATATTAAAATAACGGAAAGTAGATGTTTTCCGAGTCAGCTTGTCATTTGAGCTTGGGTATAGCATATTTCTAGTTTTTATTTCTCTCAATTACGATGTAAAACATTCACAAAATACAAAGAAGAAAATCTTTTTTAGATTAACACGTTTTATTGTGTATTATTTTTGTAGAGTGTTTTAAAGAAACAAAGATTTTTATGTCTAAAAATTGCATATAAATTTTATAAAATATAGGAAAATCTTTTTTATGTATAAAGATTGCATTTAAGATACCATTATTCAAGGTACATATTATAAATGCACTAGTTGTGTTAGATTATAATAATAAATGACATCTATAAATGACATTAGAAATAACATTGGGGTTAAATAATCAGTAAAATAATAATAAATTAATTTGCTTGGTATGATACTTAAAAAACACAGACATACACACACACACACACACACACACACACACACACACACACAAACACGCACACACAAATCGCCCACTTGGCAGTAATAATTGAAAAGTACGGTATACATTTAAACCATTTTTAGGTACAGCATGATTTTTTAATTTATTAATTTACTAAGTCAAAAGTGCTCTATCAATGTTGTGGCGAATGAGACTCAAGTCTTAAAAACACTTATTTAATCATAGTGGCAGATTTTATGACCTCAAAATCATTAGTTCTTTATCTTTATTGCTAACTATATTTTTAAATAGTTCAAACTTAGCACACAAAAATTCTTTACTTTTTGCATTACAATATCATCTTTATCAATCAATAACATCTTTAAATTAAGAAAAAGTTGTAAAATACTGTAAGTGTTCAATCAAGTCTTTTTATATATAATTTTACAGTTTTTAGTAACTTTAAGGGCAATTTAATAGACATTGAAAAATGTCCCATCCCCTTTAAATATGGAGGTGAAAACTATTTCCAGCCTTAAACAAAGCTTGCTACGTAAATGAGCACCAATATGCTTAGCAAATAACAGAATAAAACAATTTTAGAAAGTTATGGAAACAAACTATCACAGTTACTACTTATTGTTACAATGAAAAACAAAATACCAAAAAAAAAAAGGGTTTTCTAAAGGGGGCTTTCTAAAAATTTTATAATCTGCTTCACAATATTTTACCATAAAGTTGACCATGACAACTGCCTAGAAAGAAAGATAAAATTTTACCCATTAATTTTAAAATAGCTTTTTTTTTTTTTGAAAATTTCTAAAATTTCCGGAAAATTTTACGAGTTGAAAATTTCTGCGATATTTTCAACCCTACTCAACACACTTAATGTAAGTTTTCATATTTTTTGACTCGATTGTTCTCTGTGGCAACAAACACACAAATTTTCCGGTCTGCAACATATTTACTATGGTTAGTGATTTAACATAATTAAGATAAATTAAAAAAAACCTTATGATTTTCATTTGCAAGATGTTTGATTTTATGTTTTTCAGTTAAAACTTTAAATACTGCAGTTAAAACTTTAAAAACCGCAAATTAAAAGATCGACAATAGGCTGCTCTGTCATAATAAAAGATAAAGTTAATTGTATTATAAATCTTTTGAAAAAATATTTTTTACTTGTTCTTTTGTTTTCATAAAAATGTTTTTTACTCGTTCCTTTGTTTTCCGAATTTGCTTAAATTTTGCCGCTATTTATTATATTTATAATATTCTATTATTAAACCGCTATTATTATATTTACAATAATCTCAAGTAATTTAAAAACAAGATTTTTAGTTAAATAGCTTAATGACATTATAAAATAGAGGTGATGCATATCACAATAGTATTTAAAATTTGAACATAGACTTTAAATGAAGCATAAGACATAAAACACTAAAAGTCTAACGAGCTGTATGTCAAATTTTGTGTACCACATTCAAATTATTAAAAGCTTTCATACTTAATCGAAAAAAACAGATTTTAAACTTGAAATAACCAATTTTTTTTTACATTTGATTTTTTACAGACATACGATTGGTTAGAAATTGAATATATGACTCAATACTTATTTGAAAGTGTTGTTTTCTTTAGTTAATGCTTCATTTTCGTACAGCAACAACATCAATTTATACCAAAAAATGATACCTTAACTATAACGCAAAATTTTATACCTGAACTCAAATAATTTAAAAAAACTTTAACGTTATTTAATTTTAGACATACGAAAGGACTAAAATTTTAAAAAATTTCGTTTTTTTATTTTTTAGTTGTATTAAAAAAATTCAGTTAAACATAGTCTTTTTGCTAAAAATTCGTTTATTTTCCAGAACGTGCATTAACTGAGTTGATATTATACAAGCAAATGCCAGTACTAACGAAACCAGCACGCAATGCCGGTTTCGTTAGTACTGGCATTTGCTATAATTGTATAATAAATACAAACAAGTCACGGTTAGCACGGATCCTTATAATGCCTACCTAGCTGTCCAAAGAACGCTACTTATACAGAAAGTTAGAGTACACATCAAGGTACCCTGTGATTCAAATTTTGAAATCATTTAATTTTGTCCGCGGAAAATAATTTAATTTGAATGTTCAAATTAAGCCAAATTTTGACTTCATAGTGCGCCAATAAAAATACTTGTAGATAAAAATTGGTGATAAAAATTGGTGCAAATGTAGCCAATAGTCACACCAAACTCTGCACAAAAATTTAGCCTGATTGGATGACTGGTGTAGGATTTATTGCAGTTTTAGTTGAAGTTATGATCAAATATGCCAACTCTACAAGACCAAGATCAATATCAGTGATACTTGGGTACCAAAAGGATTCTG